GGTCCATATCTGAAGTTCTAGAAGTCCAAATGACCTGAAAGTTTTACACAAGAAATCTGAGACAATTTTCTACAACTTTCATGTTTCAAATGGCTCCAATTTTGACGTTATCAATGATGTTTTGGGTAGACAAGAGAAGATAAGGATTGTCACCAAGTCAAGAGTTGGTCACCCACTCATCAATTAGTCATCAAATCAATAGTTTTTAATTTTGGCCTATAAAAGGAGGCATTTGCCATGCATTTAGGCATCTTGGTTTCCAGATCAAGATCATGCTCTTGCTTTCTCTCTTTGTATTTTTTATAATGTTTATGCTTTGCTTTCATTAATATCAAGTTTATGCCTTTCATCTCCTTTCATTTACTTAGTTAACTTTTATCTTATTTATGTTCTTATTTTGTTTATTTATTTTTCTTTCTTTCGTTATGTTTAGTTAAGTTTATTATGTCAAGGTGAAAAAGTTACACTAATGGTGTAAGAATAAGTATAGTGTACACTTAAAATGGACTTTAATATTTGATACTAACATGTTTTGGGTGAAAAGGTTACACTAATGGTGTAAGAATAAGTATAATGTAAACTTAATATGGACTTTAATGTTTGATACTAACATGTTTTATATTTGTTGTCTTGTTCACTCTTTAATACTTTGCTTGTTAAATGATTAATCTTGATTTATGTTGTATAACACTTGGTACAACAAATGCTTGGCATTTTCATAGCCCATAATGTATGGTATAACCGACACCTGAGCTATGAAAGGAACTTGATTTGTTGTTAACATAAGTTATAATCATGAATGCTTGACGAGATTTACAAGTATTAGCATTAATCGAATAAGATGACTAATGTAATCATGTTAACAATATATAATCTGATTGAAACCTCCTTTGTGTGTGGTTTCCAATTAAATAATAAGAGTTTATACTATACTTGTTTGACATACTATTAGTGGATCCTCTAACCTTGACATTTATTGTTATCATTGTTTAATACTTACATTAATATTCCATCTCAAAGTTCTCATCATCTTCTTCTTCTTCTCCGTCTTTCTCTTTATTATTATTATTATTATTGCTACTAATATTATTGTTGTTATTGTTGTTACGTTGTTGTTGTCTATAATTTGTACAATTAACCTCCCTGTGGTTCGACCCCAGTCTTGCCGGGTTATTTATTACTTTGACACTCCTGTATTTGGAAGAAGACATTAATCTTTTAGTCGTGTCAAGTTTTTGGTGTCGTTGCCAGGGAGGTAAGTTCTTGTACAAATTATAGTATTTATTTTATTTTCTCTTTTCACTTTTCTTGTATATAACTTTGTTTCTTGTCTCTTGTTTTTCTTTTTTTTTTTTTAATTCTATTTCTATACGTGCATGAGAGTGTGGTCACGTACATTAAGTGGTTGACTTTGTAGGGTATCCTCATCATTTTCAAAAAATATGGCGAAAAAAGATAACCAATCACTTCATAATGAGAATAATGAGAATAACCGTGTTAGAACACTTAGACACCACATAAATCCCATAAGAACAAGTACACCATTATGTATAATTTTTCCTCCTAATGCATCTCATTTTAATTTTAAGTCAGATATTATTCAACTTTTACCTTCTTTTCATGGCTTAGAATTGGAAAATCCATACTTGCATTTAAGAGAATTTGAGAAGGTCTGAAACACCTATAATGACTCAAATTGTAGTATGAACACCATCAGATTAAAGCTTTTTCCTTTTTCATTAAAAGATAAAGCTAAAACATGGCTATAAAATTTAAGACCAGGATTCATTCGTGCTTGGGATGAAATGCAACAACAATTTTTAAAGAAGTTTTCCCATCTCATAGAACAAACTCTTTCAAAAGACAAATCACCACTTTCATTCAAAAACCAGGAGAAACATTTTACCAATGTTGGGATAGGTATCGAGACTTGCTTAATACTTGCCCTCCTTATAGTTTTGAAACATGGAGATTGGTTTTATATTTTTTTGAAGGGTTAACACCTATAGATAGGCAAACGGTTGAATTGATGTGCAATGAAATTTTTGAAGATAAAGACCCTGATGAAGCAATGGAGTACTTAGACTTGTTAGCTGAAAATGCTCAAAATTGGGACACCGCGGGTACTTATAAGGCACCGAGTAAAACTCAACCTCATACATCTAGTGGAGGTATGTACAATCTTAGGAAAAATCATGACCTCCAAGCTAAGTTTGCATATTTAGCTAGAAAAGTCGAGACACTAGAATTGAAAAAGAGTGGTCAATTAAAATCTATTGAAAACATTGTGTGTCAAATACGTGAAACAAATGAACACTCAACCAATAACTATCCAACCTTGCCTTTTTTTAAGGAATGTCTCCATGAACAAGCCCATGCTTTAAACAGTTTTTAAAAGGCCAACCACAACCTATACTCACAAACATATAACCCTGGTTGGAGAAATCACACAAATTTTAGTTGGAAGAGTGATAATAACAATGTACAAACATCACAACCACCGTTTCAAGCACACCATAATTTCCAAAATTCTCATCGATATGCACCTCCTTATGCTCCACCTCCTAAAAGAAATCTTGAGGAAACATTGCATGCATTCATTGAAAAGCAAGAGACAATCAATACTCAATTTGCTCAAAACGTGACAGATTTTAAAGATATTCTGGCAAAATTAACATCTGCTCTCAGTTTCCAAGAGAAAGGTAAGTTTCCATCTCAACCACAACAAAATCTCAAGGGGCAATACAATACAAATGCAAGTAGTTTAGGAAGCCAACACATGGATCAAGTCAAATCAGTCACCACTCTTTGCAGTGGTAAGGTTATTGAAAAACCCACTCTTAAACCTTGTGAGAAAGATGATGAGTCAATTTCTGAGGGTAAGGAAGGGGTTGAATATGAAAATTACAAAGAAACGACTGATTCCCTACCAGCACTTCTATTTCCTCATGCTATAACTAAACAAAGGAAAGTCAATCACAACTCTGAAATCTTTAAAACTTTCAAACAGGTAAGCATCAATATACCTTTGCTGGATGCTATTAAATAGGTTCCTTCTTATGCTAAATTTTTGAAAGATCTATGCACTGTGAAGAGAAAACTGAATGTGAAAAAGAAAGCCTTTTTACTTATGCTAAATTTTTGAAAGATATGTGCACTGTGAAGAGAAAACTGAATGTGACAAAGAAAGCCTTTTTAGCCGAACAAGTAAGTGCCATTCTTCAGAACAATAATGCTTTGAAATATAAAGACCCTGGTTGTCCTATAATTTCTTGTTTTATTGGAGAACATAAAATTAAAAAAGTCTTACTTGATCTTCGAGCCAGTGTGAATTTACTTCCATATTCAATTTTTTAAAGTCTTAATCTAGGTGAGTTAAAACCAACTTCTGTAACTCTTTTACTTG